TGGGTCTAAGAAGCAGGTGTGAAACCCTCAGGCAGGGGCTGTGGTAGCAAATATCTCATGTCCCTTTAGTCATTGAGTGTTCTGCTGCTGCCTTGACCCCCCGAAATGACCACAGTTGTGTAAGGAAATGAGTTGAATTTTGACAGACTCTTTTGGCTCATTGTTTTATTTTTCTGGTATTTGTATGGCTTTCTCTTAAGGTGAGAAAAAGTATTTTTCAGAAGTCCCAAGTTTTAAAACTCGGAGCTCTGATGGATTAAGTCATTGGTTTTCAGGTTCTGTTTCTGGAAAGTTAATTCCTCTTGCCTAATAAACTAGGATAATTATGTGTAACGTGTTTTATCCAGGAAAAATTAATATTGATGTTTTCTGTTTTTATTATTGAGAAGTAGAAAACAAGCCTTAGTTTGAGGATTGGATTTCATATGGAAATTAGTTACTACAGGAGTTACAGCACCACGTCACTGAGCTGACGTGCCTGTTCTGGTTGATTTGGGCTTCACAGGAAGAATTACAAGTCTCAAAAGCAATTATTTTCTGTCTTTGTGCTTTGGGGAAACAAAAAGAGGCTGGTCTGGAATGAAAAAGAGAACAACTGTTAAGGGAAAAAAGTATGAAAAAATAGTTATGTTTATAGGAAGTTGCACCCCTCAGCTTCCTTCCAGAGAGAACCTGAAGTGATTGTTTACCCCTCCTTTTTTTTTTGAGCAGGTTTCAGGGAGCCACCTGACAGTGATTAAACATGTGACCTGAACAGCTTGGAGTCCAAATTCCACCTCTGAGTAGAATATGCACTTTTGATAGAGAATCCAGCACTAAAGGCTTTCAAGGATAAAAAGTAGCACTTTTTTATGTGTCTAGGATTTTTTGTAGTGTTTTAAGACTGTGTGACTCAAAACTGAAATCCAGTCAAGAGACAATAAGGTCATTTAAAGTTGTTTTAGTTCTTGTTAGACATTTTGTAAGGCAACAAAACAAGGGGCTTCAGGGAAGTCTTGAAGAGCGTTTGCCTCTCAGTGAAACCAGGCTGTAATTAGCTTCTAAGGAAGATTGGTTTTCAAGTTTAAAACCCAGGAATGTTTTTTTAGAGAGAGTTTTGTTGTGAGTCATACAGGAGCTGGATTAGTTCTGGAGCAGATCCTGCAGGGACAGCTCTGCATTAATCATGACAAATTGCTGTTTCTGCCTCTCGGGTTTTGCCCCTCACCTACTACAGCCTGTCAGTCTCCTCCTTCCTTGCTCTGTGTCACCTCCTCAAATTCCTGACTCTTCTCGTGGGGAATTCCGCTGGAAAAGGAGTTGTGAATGTGAGCTCCCCGTGCCTGCGTTGGCCTCTCAGAGGCAAGTCTTTCCCACTTTGGATTTCAGCTGGAGTGGAGCTCGTGGGGCTGTCACAGGATTCCTGGTGCTCTGGGAATTCACACCACATGCTTCTGGGATGACGACAGATGGAGTGAAGCAGCTCCTCAGTAGCAAAGTCACATCTGATGGGGGCCTTCGGATATTAATTTTCTGCTCTTGCTTCTTGATGTTTTCAGGCGGGAGCTACTTCCATGTGGGCTTCCTGCTGTGGATTGCTGAATGAAGTCATGGGGACGGGAGCAGTGCGTGGCCAGCAGGCTGGATTTGGGGGAGGTGCTGGCCCGTTCAGGTTTACACCAAGTACAGACTTCTCAGCATATCCAGCTCCAGCTGCAGCCAGCACTAACATTGTCTGCAAAGCCTGTGGACTTTCCTTCTCAGTTTTTAGGAAAAAAGTGAGTATATTTCCTATTACATTGTATTTTTACCCTATGAACTAATCTGTGGCATACTGGGAGATGAGTGTGTGTTTCTCAGAAAACGAAGGCAGAAATCCAGGGAGGGAGGAAGCGCCTTGTTCTGAGGTCACAGGAAATTACTGTCAGCCGGGATTAGAAGTTAAGAGGTCTCATGTTCATTAGTCAGTGACACGTTGGATCTGGGCTGACCTGGAAAGTAACGGACTCATTTGTGAGATACAAATGTGTTGGCTTCAGGATCTTGAACATTAAAGCAGATCTGGTTTTGAAGATGGCACCAAACACAGTGGTTGAGTACTGGAAAGGACAAACTGCGTGGTGGAAAAGGTAAAAACTCACAGTACAGTATCACAGCCTCTTTCTGGGAATTCCTAGTGCAGTTCTGGTTGTTTCCTAACCAGCTTTAGAAGCTGTTGTGGTCCAACAGCCTGTTGCTTCTTTGGGAGACAGGCAGGTGGGTTAATGCAGATAAATAAAATAGAGATTATTAATATTATTTCTGTGTACCACAACTGTCCAGGCTCGTTATTTTGTCCCCTCAGTGACCTAATCCTCAGCAGCTCTTTCAGATGATTGTGAAGCCTCTTCCCTCCATCTGTGTGTTGTTTCCCCCTTCCCGGGTGTCCTGTTGATCACATGGCAGACTCTTTGTTGAATTAAGTGTTGTGTAGGGATGTTTTCTGAAGCTGATATTAATTTCCTAAAATCCTGAAAGCCCTCAGAGAGTTTGGGTTTGTTCACAGCAGATGAAATGCTGACAATCTTGTCTATTCCAGCTTTTGTGTATTGTGAGTGTTTTGAACAAAGCTCTCTTCAGAAATGACATCTGGGCATTTGGGAGTATTTCCCTACCATGTGATTCATCACATCCGAGGCCTGCTTTGCATTCTGGGAATCAGTTGAGGAAGAAGTTGAGAAGTTCTTTAAAGTTTGGGGGTTATATTCTTTTTTTCTACACATGATAAGAGCAGCAACAGTAAATGCAGAAGTGTTTTAACAGACCATAAAATTGGTTTCAGCTTTGTTTGTTGGTTAAACTACAACTTGAGTACTTTATTCATTTGTTTATTCTTAATGTTTTTAACTGAGATTTCATATCAGCTTCAGTATTGCTGCAAAAGCGAGGCACTGCCTTGGAGCACCTGCAAGACTGTCTGACAGGGCAGTTTTTGGACTTAAAAATTCTGTATGTCACAACTGACAGTGGAAAAACTAATAGTAAATTCCGTAGCCTGGAGAAGGAAGGAGCAGGGCCTGGCTTTGTTTTCTGTGACAAACAGCTGAATGGCTGTTTTCTTTCCCTTTAGCACATGTGCTGTGACTGCAAGAAGGATTTTTGCTCCGTTTGTTCAGTCTCACAAGAGAACCTCCGGAGATGTTCCACCTGTCACTTGCTGCAAGAAACAGCCTTCCAGCGACCTCAGCTAATGAGATTGAAAGTGAAGGATCTGCGTCAGTACCTGATTCTCAGGAACATCCCAACAGACACCTGCAGGGAGAAGGAAGACCTGGTGGATCTGGTGCTGTGCCACCACGGATTGGGGTCGGAGCAGGACATGGACGCTGGCAGGTTGCGCTCGTCACGCTCACAGACCTCGGGGTTTTTTACTCATCCCTTTTCCATGTCTGTATCCATGTCCAATCCAGGAGAACTTGCAAACAGGAGGGGAAGCACAGGAAGTGGAACACCTTCACGGGTACAGTAATTGCCATGTTTAATGGTGTAGCACTGGGGGTTTTTTTTGATTTGTTTTTGAGGTTCTGCATCGATTTAAAATAAAACACCAATTGGTACAGTTTGGAGGGGCAGGAAAAACACCTTTTGTATCTCACACCTGAAACCAGCAGACTACTAGGAAAGATTCCTAGTTTAGGTTAGAGGTGACTTAAACCAATACTGATTGGTAGCAATTGAAACTTCGGAATGTCATTGTCACCTGTGATCACCTTGGTATGAAGAAAAGTGTTTTATAAGGGAATAATGTGTTTTTATTCTGAATAGTTTCATTTTGTACACAGGGCCAAACGGAAACATCTGTAAATAATGAAGAAGAAGAAAGTGCAGAAGAGCAGGTGAGAGATGAACTATCCAAAGAGCAGATTTTTGGCATGTGACACCATGAAGTGTTTAGATCTCTCAGCATTTAGCCTCATGCTCTGGTTCTTCCAGAGTTCACCGTGTCAGGCAATCAATGTCTGCACATACTCGCTTTGAAAATAATTAAACTTTAGCCAAGCTGCTGCAGCCTCACATAGTCCCCCTCCAAATGTGGGGCTCTGAGCTTATCAGGACATTAAAACCATACAACTGATGTGTTTCAGACCCCTGGACTGTCCAGGAAGCGAGCGAGGGCGTCGCTGTCCGACATTTCAAGCCTGGAAGACATCGAAGGGTTGAGTGTTCGGCAGCTGAAGGAAATACTGGCCTGTAACTTTGTCAACTACTCAGGATGCTGTGAGAAATGGGAACTTGTGGAAAAAGTCAGCAGACTGTACAGAGAGAGCGAGGAAAACCACAAGACACGTAGGTTTATACTTTGTTCTGACTTTCTTAAGACTGTGCGTTTTCTGGTTTCTGGTGTTTGGTTCTGCCAGCAGGACTTGGTGTCTGACTTGGAACACCTGGAAAGTGGGTTTTAGCAGTGCAAGGTGCCCCTAGAGTAGCTGAACATGGCTCTAGTGATTAAACAAAGCTTTCCAGGGTTGTGCTGGTTTTTCTGAGACTCTTGTCAAAGCCTGGAGAGCTCAGCTTTCACGGGGAAGGTAAAATTGCACAACTGAGAACCGGTTCCTCAGAGAACATGAAACTTGGCACCTCCATGTGCTTCGCTGGGTTTCAGAGGGCATTAGCCAGAGCTGCTCCTCGGCTGTGCAGGCCAGGGCAGTTCAGCTCTGTCACTGCAGAGCAGAATTAAAAGCTACAGTGGCAAAAGTCCAAGTGGTTTGGTCTGAGTCCATGTGTTCATGGCAAGGTGGTTCTGTGGCTGCAGCTCAGTGCCTGGGGTTGTTCTACTTCTGTTCCACTCAGCAGCTGGAGTCTTTCACTTGTGTGGTTACAGAATATCCACAGACCAACTCCTGCTCACACAGACAAAGCTTGAAAAAAACAAAAACTTTAAACTTAGGATTTTTAGTTTTTTCACCATGGTCTGATGGAACATTCAATTATTGATGAGGATGTTGGCTATTTGCTACGAAACCTGACATGTTTTGTTCAGTTCTGCCACCTTTATGGCCTACTTAGGGCTTCCACTTCTTAGTCTGCTTTATTATTATTGTGTTTAATCTTCTGAGGAAAATGTTCTGCCAAACACTGAGCTCTGGGACAGAAAACCAACATGCTCTGAATTTTAATCCAGCACGTTATTTCAGTCATTATATTCTGAATTGAAAATCGTTTTCTGAGTTTAAAGAATGGAGCTAAATATGGGGATGTTCACTGAGGGACTTTCTAGTGCTTTTGGAGGAATAGAAACTAATTCTTAGCTGGGGATTAGAAAAACTCTTGTGAGGAGGGAGCAGCACAGGAGTGGAGTGTGGCTGGGCTGGAACTGCCCAGGTCCTGCAGGGCCCAGGGGCCTGACCCATCTCTGTTGGGTTTCAGAGGGTGAGAAGATGCAGCTGAACGAGGACGACGACAACCTGTGCCGGATCTGCATGGACGCGGTGATCGACTGCGTGCTGCTGGAGTGCGGCCACATGGTCACCTGCACCAAGTGCGGGAAGCGCATGAGCGAGTGCCCCATCTGCCGCCAGTACGTCGTGCGCGCCGTGCACGTCTTCAAGTCCTAAGCCAGCCCCGGCTCCCCGTGGGCAGCAGTGCCGAGCCCCTGCAGCCCTCAGCTCCTTAGTTCTCAGTTAAACGTGGCCCTTTGAGCACCAGGTTCTGGAGTTCGTGAAAGTTTTTTCTACCCCCCTCCTGCAGGGCAGGGCTGGGCAGGCCGAGGCCAGGCCTGTGTGCAGGGCTGGCACTGCCCCGCTGACCCGCTCACCCTGTTGTTGACTGTTGGAGTCAAAACTGTTTACAACAGTTCTTGCTCTCTTCTGAAGAATCTCCTTACGTGTTCAGCACTCGGCAAGTGGTCAGCAAACACCTCTGCTTGAGCCTGTGATAGCCTGTGGTGTTCTTAGTGCATTAGAAGCAATGAATATATCAGTTGAATATTCAGCTTTTCTCTAACTCTAGAATGTACCTGTCCCGACACGGTGCCGGGGTCGGGCATGGCTGTAGGAAGCACTGCCATGAACTGTACCTGCACAGAAGCCCTTAAGCAATCTGGCTTTGTGCTGATTGCTCCTTCTGAATGTCTGTCATGACACCATGTGCTGTCTTGGCTGTTCTCTGTCAATGTACAAAACACTCCGTCACTTTGCAGGGCTCAGGGGCTGCACAGGGCTCTGCCAGGTGGGCTCCAAAAACCAGTTACTGGGTGGTTTTGGGTTTAGGAAGAAAATATATTTTTTAAAAGGGGTATTCTAGCAAACCATATTAGTGTGGTCCTTAATCCGCTCATGCCTGTTGTAACTATTACTCTGTGATGATTGTATTCCATGTGCCGACAGCCTGTTACTGTGAACACTGATCAGGGTCACCACCTCCTGCTGCTAACGTGGAATGTGTGGCATTACTAACCTTAACTGGGGAGGGGGCAGTTGGGAGCAGGGAAAGGAAACAGGTTTTGTTTAAAAACCTCCCGTTCAGAGACTTTCACCCAAGGCTGAGTCACCAAAACCAGCTTCCCAGGGGCTGCTGGGGGCCCTGTGTTGCTGCCAGCCCTTGGCCCAGGGCTGAGCTGGGCTTTGTACCATCAGCACAGGTACAGGTCCTCTTGGAGCAGGAATTGTGGTGGTCCTTGTAGGATATCTGTGAGTGATGACCTGGGGAAGAGAGGGGCAAGGGTAGCTCTTCTTGGGGATCTGTGGCCCAGCTTGGCCATGACAGATCAGTTAAGTTCTCTGTAAAAAAAGAGGTGAAGAAGGACCCTGTCTCTTCAGTACAGTTATTCTTTGAGTTGATTAACATAGGAAAAGTTTCTGTTTTGATTTGCCATGTGCCAGCAAAGTACCAGAGTCAGGGCTGGGCTTTGCTAGAACTGTAGGACCTGAGGACTTGTCCCTCTGCTGCACTGGCACTGGCTCTGCTTTTTGTGAACAGTTAAGTTGGCATGAAAGAGAGAAAGTTGCTCCTTCTCACACCAAACACAGCTCCAAGCTCTGCTGGGTATTTTTCAGAAGGGAGCAAACCTCTCAATGGCTTTATTTTTTAGAAGTAACTTTTTAATGGTACTTAATTCCTGGAGTCTGTCCAGCAGGGGGGCTAATGAAGACAGACATGCCCTCGGTGTTATTTCCATGCTGCTCATTAGCCACTCAAGCTTAATAAAGATTGGTGATGGGCTCCACCAGCCTCTGTCTCTTTTTTTTAACCAGCCCTGGAAGTGGTGATTACTCTGCTCAGGCTTTAAAGCTTGAGATGTCAGTGCTCCTCAAGCTCACCCTGGGCAGATCCCTGCTGGGGGAATGCAGAAGTGGATGTTTTGCTGCTTCCTCAGTAAAAAAGGCTTGGAATATTCTCACTTAAGAGAATGGGACAAAGACCACACACTCACTGCAGCCACTCCCCACCCCGGACAGCCCCAGCTCACCTTCCCCAGCCCCACAGGGGAACAGAAACGCGCAGAACCAGCACCTCTTTTTGTACAATTGTTTATACAAATTCAACAAAGGTAAAACTGCATCAGGAAGGTCTACGAAAACAACACCGTACAACAATGGCACTTATGAATGCAGAATTTTACAATCAGGAAATAACCATGTTATAAACCTTAAATGAGAACTCAACTCACACTTCAAAGAAAGAGAGACTACGTTTGACCATTTATTCTACTGCTGGACTCACTGTATAAATTAATTTTATATTGAGTACAAGAGCTCATGCTACAGAGTGAAACCCTCCTATGTGCAAAAGCTGAAATTGGAATTTTTTTAAAATTTTGAGAAAAAGGTGATTTCTATACAGATAAAAGTGTTTTACTTCAACTATAATTTACACCTTATTTCCACAACATGCTTATGTCACTTCTGAAGTATACAAAGCAGGATATAAACTTCCATTAAAACATGCTTTAAGTTGAAAGTATGAACCTACTTTTCCTGACCTGGGCACGTTTGTAGATAGATACTGTCTACGAAGTATAGGTTAAGTTCTCGCCTACCATAAGTAAAGATAAAAATTGGCAATCAAAACCGAAACACTGGTAATGCATTCAAACATTGCATAAATAATTTTTAAACAATTTTTGTACAAAAATAGTTCTGCATAATGTAAGATGTAACAAAACAAAATGTGTTAAGAAGGCAGAAATGCAGTGCGTGGTCCACTTGAATGACACCAACTTTTTTTTTTTTCTCGTTTTAAGAAATGAAAAGCAGAAATCAAATTTACACTACCAAGCACATGCTGTGGTACTTTAAATAACAGTATTTCTTGGAGCTCAGTCCTCTTCTGGGTGTGAACAATTATCATCAGTAACAGTCGCCTTATGAATTTG